ACTGGAGTGAAACCATCACCCTCCATTCCCATCTCCAGTGTCTCTCCTGGCCACTCTCCCTCCCGAGTCCCARGATGACCCACCTGGGTCGTGGCCTCACTGCTTTTCTCTGGTTCATGTAACCTGGAAGGAGGGACAAAAACAGTCAGATGGATGGACCATGCTCTCGCCTCTTCACTTCTTCCCTGTGATGGAGCAGCTGGGGAGGTCAGATGCGAGCCAAGGTCCTTGCAGCTGCACCCAGCAAGACAGGTCCTGAGCACTGGCTCCTGGGCTGATCCAGTTGTCTCTCTGCTGGCCAGAGCCCAGCTCCCACCTGCCTGCTCAACCCCACYACAAACCAAAAATCACCATGGACACAGAATCCCAGCCGGGGAGATGGGCASRGCCTGTGCCCCTGCCTTCTCTTTCRCAARTTTTGGGGATACAGCTYTGTCYCAAACCTGAGGGATTCTGTGGGCTGGATGTGTCCAGCTGAGAGTTCCCACAGGTTACCAGTGACTAGAAAAGATCTGCACTCACCTGGCAGATGGCGAGCTTTTACCTGCTGGAAGAGAAATAGTTTAGAAAWGCAATAATTCAGGGAACAAGACAAATGCCCCATTTCCCTGGGCACAGAGAACACATGCAGAGCCTGTTTCAAGGACAAGGACACATCTTTTCCCAGAGGCAAGTGCCTGCAATTCCCTGGAGTTTCACTCCATTTCTTCCAGGACTGTTCCTGGGGGAGCACAGGAGGTGCAGAGCAGGGCCAAACCAAGCAGAGCTTTCTGTGCAGCCTGCAGCCAACCTGGGCAGCTCTATCCATCACCAGGGCTGCAGCTGCACTGCCAGGAATTWTTGTCCAATGGGGCAAAGTGAAACCCATGTGAAAGAGAGGAAAAAGGGGGTTGGGAGCAGCTGCCTCCCCRCCACACATTGGGCTCCCTTACCCTTGATCTGTTTCGTCCGGATGAGGTACAGAATCGCAGCCACCAGCAGGGCCAGCACGGTGCACACCACAGCCACCACGATGTAGATGAGCAAATTGTCTGAAACATCAATTAAAAGGTCACCTTGGCCAAAAATGTGGCACCCCCCAGTCCCTGCCAGCCTCACAGCTGGGATTGGCCCAGTGATGCACGAAGCACCGAGGACAGCTCAGTGCCTGCCAGCACCACATCTCCCAGCCCCCTGATGTGGAGATTTGGTTCTTCAACTAGATTTTGATGRGGCTTTGAGCTTCCTCAGTGTGTGACACCACACAGCCACCCTGGCAGGCACCCCAACCCAGCTCTGACGCACCCTTGTCCATCTGGAAGCCCTTGCTCAGTTCCCCTTGGGCCGGGTTGGAGATCCACAGGATGGCTGAGTCGTTGACAGGGGCCTGACCATCGTGCACCACCCGGCAGGTGACCAAGGACCCGTTTYTCTCCTCCGTCGCTTGCACCTCCACCTGGCTTCTGAGCTCRAACAAGCCCCGGGAGARCTCTGAYGGCCGGGAGACGTTCTCCACCTTTATCTCCTTCCCATTCTCCAGCCAGGAAACAGCCACGTTTGCTGGGTAAAACTCCTTCACGTGGCAGGTGAAGGTCACGGTCTCATTCACATCAACAGGGCTCAGGTCAGCGCGCACTTCCACACTGGGGGGAACTGGGAAGAGAGGGAGTGCTTGATGTCCCKGGCTCTGCTGCCCACAGGGCACCCTGTACCCATCCCAGRGACYCCAGCYCCACAGGAGCAGGACACCCCAGCACGAGTCCCCCAGCCCTCACCTCGCAGGACTCTGTTGAGCTGATAATTCCCACGCAGCGGGACCGACAGCGTGGAGTGCCGCACCTCACACMTGAGCTCTGAGCGGACATCTGTCTTCTGCAGGGTCACCATGACTGTGCTGGTCATGCTGTAGGATTTCGCCCGCCATTCRGTGAYCTGGGGTGTCTGAGCCGCCAGCTCAGTGTACTTGTCCTTGAACCACTTCACCCCAATTTTTTCAGGAAAGAACCCTCTGGTCGTGCAGGTGAAAGGCACCGACTGCCCCGGCCTCGCTCTCTGCTCCGGCCCGGACACGAGTGGGGAGCTGGGTTTGGCTGTGGGGAGAAGCACGGGGCCATCAGATCAGGCTCTGTGCCCCTGCCCAGCCCTGGCTCTGCCAGGAGCAGAGTCTCCTACAAGGGCACGGAGATGTCCCATGGGATCCTCTCCTGGGACAGCCCCTGAACCCCTTCCCCACCCCTGCTCAACCTGAGCAGAGCCCTCTGGGCTGGGCTGGTTCCCACCAGGAGCTGCTCCATGAGCCCCACTCACCTTGCACAGACACCTCTGTGCCACTTCCACGCTGAAACACCTCATCCACACCAAGGTTATTCTTGCGGTATTTCACACAGTAATAGGTGCCCATGTCCTCAGGCTGAACGTCCCTGATGAGGATGGTGAAGTCTGTGTTGGACTCAGCCACTGCTCTCATCACACGGGGCGGGGGCTCTTCTCTCTGGTCATAGATGGTCTTGTTCCCACTGTCCCAGCCCTTCAGCCACCTCACAGCACCAGGGAAAGCAGCTCCAGATAAGGTGCAGTTCAGGGTAAGTGTCTCCCCCGCTAACACCGATTCCTTGGTCTGGGGCTGGTGCAGTTTGAAGGGCTGACCCGCCTGGGCACCCACACCTGGAATAAAAACACAGCAAGTCTCATCTGGCACCGCACATCCAGACTCCCCACTGTCCCCYGGGACAGGCTGAGCACCCCACTCTGTTAGCAGGGAGCACAGGTGACAGGGCTGTGGCCATGGGCACAGTGCTCTGCCCACAGAGCTCGGCAGCAAAGCTGGACACATCTCTGTTTGGTGACTGTGCTGTGCTCCGTACGGCAAAGTCATGGAGAAAATCCCAGCTGCTCACACCTCCAACATGCCGGGCTGTCTCCCACAGCCACCTGGCTTTGTCAGCCCGGAGAAAGAAGGGCACAAAGGCGGTGCTTCAAAGAGCCAGCTCCCATCACTGATGACACTGCATTTTCTACCCTGAATCTGTCCCATTTCTGTGAGGAATCCCAGCCCTGGTGATCCTGGCAGAGCACAGCCAACCCTCGTCACCAGTGTAAGCCAAGCAGGCACCGTTCCTGCTCAGCAGCAGCCACAGGGAGCCATCACCTCTGGAGCATCTCCACACCATTGCTCCCTAATCCAGTCGCCTGTGCTGCACCTCCCTGCACAGACAGAGAGAAACATCTTGGAAAACTGCCCCTACACATCCAGGGGTTAATTTTATCACTGCTTCCTATGCCACTATAGTTATTGCAATCCAATTCACTAAGATTTCAATCCTGGTCACTGCTTAAAGAAACATTTTTTAAAGCCTCCTGAGGAGAGAAGTGGGGGAGCCACTTAAATCCACCTGTTGGTAACAGGTGGCAGTGGCACCCAGAACCGGTGTCATGGTCACACAGGACCGTTGTGTTTGAGCAGGTAACACTGAGCAGAGTGGGGAGCACGTGCACCAGCACCCCACATCTCTCATTCAGAATCATGGAACCACAGAATTTTTTGGGTTGGAAAAGGTCTAAGACCACCAATTCCAATCATTAAGCCAGCACGGTCAAGCGCACAACCAAACCACGTCCCCAGGTGCCACATTCACACATCTTTGAAATCCCTTCAGGGATGGTGACGCCACCACTGCGCTGGATATCTCTCTTACCTTTCAGTGAAAAGCTTCTCCCCAACATCCACCCTAAACCTCCCCTAGTACAACTTGAAGCCATTTCCTCCTGTCCTGTTGTCATCTGGGAGAAGAGAATGACCTCCACCTGGCTACAGTCTCCTTTCAGGGAAATCCAGGACAGCAACTTCTGCCAAGGCTTCCCTTGGGACACAGCAGGAAAATCTCTGGCTGGCTGCTCCCAGGAGGACCTGCTGTAGGACAAGCTGCTGTGACCCCTCTGGCCACATCTGGCTCTCACAGAGACCAGAGATGATTTTTGGCAGCTGTTAATCCCTCCTGACTCTCAGCAGTATGTGCTGTCCCACAGATGTTCTCACTGTTCCACTGTGTGTGGAATTACTCGATGTCTATGGCCAGAATTACCAGGAGCAGTTTCTCCAGACTGCCCCAGTTAAAAGAAAGCCCAGGGCATGAGTCCACAGCACCCTCAGCCAAAACCTTCAGGCCTTGGTGCTTCCCTTTGAAGCCATGTCAGTGTTAACACAGCAGCAGTATTTGACACCAGAACAAGTTTTTCTCATAAAACAAGCACAGAGGGATGGAGTTGCTTTGTATCACATCCAGATGAGCCATTCACACTGAGCCTTGGTCCTGCACCTGCGAGACAACCCCACATTGCTCAGGGGACACCCAGGGTGTGGGGAGCAGCYCTGGAGCAGAGGCCTCATGCACTCCATGTGCTGAACACGGTSCTGACACAGGACAAACACCACTGGATCCGCTGCTGTGGTATCTCCTGAACTTCTCCATCTCCTGAACTTCTCCTTCGCCCACTGCCGCCAAACCTTTTGCAAGAAATGGTTGAGAAACGCGCAGAGGAAGTTCACAAGCACAGAGTCACCWTCACATCATCCATCTCTCGCCCAACCACTGCACAAAGATGTGACGCAGGCTGGGACGCAGGCTGCTGGGGCCACTGGGACCCTCAGCCAGCAACTGCAGAGACCCCCAGCCCTTCCACGWGCCCAGGAGGGCCACAATGCCARRTCCTGGCTCCAACAAATTGGGCAAWCAAAGCTTGTTAGCRGGTGRCACTCAGCACAGCAAGGRACAAAAGCCCRGTGCGYGGCCACGGGAGCAGGGGCCCAGGGCCAGGCCCCCTCCCCACTGCACACTCTGTGCCCTGTGATGAGCGTGTTACTCACTGCTCCCCCCTGCAATCTTCTGTAAAAGCAATTTCCATGCAGTGGTGGCCCCGGTGTCCCCTTGAGGGCCCCCTGCACTGKGTAGAAGTGCCTGCACCACCCTGCACAGCCCAACACGAGCGAGCTGAGCGCCTCCTCTTCATCCTCCCTCTCTCCATCTGCCCATCTCTCCACGAGGCACGTGGTGTGCTGAGCAGGAAAGCTGGGGAAAGTGCCTGCTTCAGGGCCTCAGAGCTGACCCCAACACCAGACAGTGGCAGGGTGGGCACTGCTCAACACCTGAGTTCATTTCTTGGTTTCAGTGATGGTCTCAGAGAAATGTCCACAGGAGCACTGGGACACTGAGCCCAGCACGGCCAGGTGCCCTGCCTTGGCTGGCTGCCATGCCTGGTATGCAGCAGGGACTCCCCACTGCCTTGGCTCAAGGGTCCTGCCTTCCTGGGACTGCAGGGATTTATCCTCACAAGCTGCAGGGATCTCTCCCAGGGCCTGGATTTGCAGCCAAATGTGCATGGTCTGTATGCATCCCACGTCGGCCAGGCTGCATTCCCTCCTCAGCGGGGCAGCAGTGTGTGAGCACCCTGCCTGCCTCTGTGCCCGGGGATCAGCAGGCACGGAGCATGCTGTCATCCAGGGATWGAATGCAAGGTGCTTTCCTGACTGCTACTGCTCCCAGAGGAATGAGGGAAAAAAGAGCTTCACACTGCCAGCAGCGCTGCCTGTCTGGAGGCTCCACTGGCAGCTCTTGGTCACCGCAGAAAACACTGTCAGGCTCCAGGCAGCCCCTTGGAGAGGATTAAAATGGGGGTTTTGGATATTCTTCCATTTGCTCTGCTGCTTCAGAGACCCTCAGGCAGCTCTGCTCAGATCCCCCCATTCAGGGGTCTCTGATCTGTGGCACACCAGCTCCAGCCGTGATCCAGCACAGCAACACCCCTGCTTGCCCCTCCTGGCCAAGAAGCAGGAGACTCCCAGTGAGCCCTGGCTTCTCCACCTCCTGCCTGCATCCAAAACCCCACACCAGGACCAACCTGATCCCTCCCTGCTCACAACGACCCCAACCCCCCACAGCAGCTCACAGCAATGCCTTTCCCCCCACACCCTGATGGGAAAACACAAAGGGGAAGTCGGCAGAAAACCCCAGAATATGCAAGTTAGAAAATGCAAAGTTTCTACCAAAGCTCCTTTCCTCTTTCTCCCTCAACACAGCTTCTCCTCACACGCAGCAGATGCCTCCCCTCTCCTTCCCCTTTCGAGGTGCTCACCCGATAGGACCGGGAGCACAGCCAAGCTCCCTCCCAGCAGCTCACGATGTGCTTGTGCACCAGGAGTGGGATGCTGGGGGTCTTCATGCCACAAACACCACAATTTCTCACTGCTTCCCACCCGCTGCCACTTTTTTTCTTAGACTTGGATTTCAAACCACCTGGAATTGGAACACGATCCTCTTGCCCCCAAGATCATGGGGAATTTAGGTGCTCTGACCCTGTAATCTGTTCTATCCTACACTCCAGAATTAGCCAAGGGTTTTAGAGCCCTGAAAAGCATCACCTGACAGTTCCCACGTAGGTGGGAGCACCCTCGCAGTGCAGACCCGGAGCACTTCCAGCCCAGAGCAGAGGCAGGAGCATGATCTGCCAGAGCATGCCTCCTTCCCGTTATTTGGTTTAATTTGGGAGCAAAATAATCCCAGCTCTCGCTGCAGCGCAAGTTTTCCATGTCGGTGACACATTTTTTTCTATATTCCACCTTTTGAAGTATTTGATATCGAACAGATTGCAAGAGGCCGGGGTTTAATTCAGGCGAGGCTGCTTGGATGCTTCCTGGTAAAAATAGATTTTTTTCCTCTGAAGGAGCTGGGTAAGGAGCTCTGGGATGGCTGCATGCTCCAGAAACAACGTGCAGCTGGTCACCGGCATCCAAAGCCCCACGGTCACTCACTGAAGGAACAGGCCGATGGGCAGAGGAACCCCAAAATAATCCTGCTGGAATTTCACCTGCAGCAGGGCTGCCAGGGGCGGAAACTAACAGGTGCTGCCTATAAAAGGCCTGGAATCTGCTGTTTAGGGAARGCAAGGAGAGCCCTGGGGATAGCTGATGAGCCCTGAGCAGACCCCGGGGCACTCAGGGAGGTTTGTAGTAAAGGCTGTGTTTTACATCYGTGACATCAGAGGAAGCCTCAGCTCACACGCAGCCACCATTTCCAARCTCCCCTCCTCCAGCATCAGCAGAAATTCCTCCCAAGAGCCAGAGCCCCAGAAGCAAACCGAATTCCCCTTTGGAAAAGGCTCTGGGAAGCACAGCTCAAATCCTCTGTGGAGACACACAGGCATGGAAGGGCTCTGCAGGGCACAGCTTCTCAACRGGGCTTTGCTGTTTGGTTTCCCACATCTCACTGCCTTTTCCCCACAGGAAGGTCTCCTCCAGGACCTTCCCTTTTCCCCTTCACTTCTGCAGAAGCTGTCAGAACAGCCGGCAGCGGGAGCCTGGGCCAACTCTGCTGGAGTTCAGCTTAGTTTGAACCATGGCCCGGGAGGGATTCACCATATGGAAAAAAAGAGACCTGCACTTTTGCACCTAAAATCAGGGATGCAAACCGCTTCACAACTCGGGGCTTTTCACCCCAGGGYGGTTCTTTTCCCACGGCTGGCTCAGAGAAATGGGGTTCTTACTCTAAGACCACATTTAATTAAGTTCAGGAGCTTTGCTGGGGCCATTCTTTCATGCAGGAAATCGCAGTGGCTCACTGGGAAGCCGTGCTCACCGCCAAAGCCTTCTTGGCTCTCAGCAGCCGGAGTTTTCAGTTTGGGGCCAACACTTCTCAGTTGTGATCAGGCGATTCAAAGTGAGGAGTGTTGTGCTGAAAGCATTTGCTTTCTGCCCAAGTTTGCATCCAACTCTTTGCCCAAGTAAAGCTTTGATGGTAAATATTTCAATGGGCTCGGGAGAATGTGGGTTTCCCCAGCGGAACCTGGGCCAGGCTGTTTGTAGTGGGATCTGSCTGGAAGGGGTGGAATTGGAATAGACCAGGAAAAAAGCTCAGCAGCGAGATGCTCCTGAAGATACATCGCTATTGCTGCAGGTTTGCCTCAAAAACCCCATYCCTCCCTTGGCAGGAAAGAGAGCGATTCCTTCGAAATCACCCAAAATGAAACACTCTAGAAAGGAAACATCCTTGAAAGCAGCAGTCACCACAGGGCTTCGTTCCTGGTGGGATGAGAGACTTCCCGCTGCTGGTAAGGGAAGAGAAACAGCCAAGAGCGGCTCACACCGACTGGTCCTTTGCTGTGTCCCTCAGCTTTCACAAGGGACTGGTGGAGCCATGAGCCCCAAGCAGGGCTGGGGCACTCTGAGCCCGAGGTGACACAGGGCTAGGTGGCACAGGGTGCCCGATGGTGTTGCAATCCCACCACTTCAGCGCCCAACAGTTGAGCAGAGAAAGAGCCCACAGCGGGGCAAAGAGAGGGGCAGCAAGAAAAACAAGTTCCTGGCAGAGAAGGCAGACAGCCCTGGCCAGAGCCTCCCCATGCCTGCTCCACTACCATCCCCAAGTGGGAATTCGGGCTGCTTGCTGAGATTCGCCTCACCCATAGCTGGCAGGGGGTGCTCGCACATGGGTGGGAACAACATGCCTCCTCATGCCCCTGCCGAACTCCCTGCCTGCCTGCGAGGGGGAATGTCTGCCTGCCTGCCTGCCTTCCAGTTTGGTTTGAAAGGAGCCGCCGGGCGAGGGCCCCGCGGGAGCCCCTCGGCCACCGCCGCGCTCTAGGTCACCGCAGGAAAGGTCAAACCAACCGTGCGCGGAGAGGCGGCGTCATGTCGGTACCGGAGGTGTGCGGGAGCGGGGAGAGGCGAGGATTGGGGAAAACGGAGGACAGGGAAAGGAGGGACGAGGGGGAACAGGGCAGAGGAGAGAAGCAGAGGGGGGGAAAGGGGAAAAACAGGGCACAGCAGCGAAAAGAGCTGGGTGGGAGGGAAAAGGGAAAACAGGGCAGAAAAGTGGGATGGGAAAAAAAGGGGGAAAAACAGGGCAAAGAAGAGGAGCAGCGCGAGAAAGGGGAGAACAGGGCAAAGTATGGTGGGAGGGAAAAGAGGAAAACAGAGCAAAGCAGAGGAGAGGAGCCTGGTGGGGAAGGAGAGAACAGTGCAGAGCAGGGGAGTAGGGTGAGAGGGAAAGGGGGGAACAGGGCAAGGAGAGGAGCAGGGAAGCAGGCAGGAGCCATGGCTTACCGGGCAGGGCGAGCAGCAGCAGGCAGGGCAGTGCCCAGGCGGTGCGGCCGGGATCCCGGGGATGCGGCTCCATCGGTGCGGGGAGCGGAGCCCGCGGCTTCACAGCGCGGCCCCGCGCCCGGCTCGGCGGCTGGGTTTGATAAATAACACAAATTAAAAAAAAAAAAATAAAAAAAATAAAGGAGCAAAAAGCGCAGAACTGCAGCTGGCGAAGGAAATCGCTGTTCTCAGCCCCAAAATGAGGAAGGAGGCCGGGCTCCCCCCTTTCCCCCCCCGCGGCGGGCGGGCAGCGCACACGCACGCACCGACACGGACCCGCGGCCCCGGCGCCGCCCGTGGGCACCGGACCGGGCTCGGGGCCGCGGCGGGGCCCCGGGCGGGCGCGTGCCCCGGTGCCGCGCGGAGCCGCCTCCCCCCCGCCGCCGCGCCGCCTCCGTTGCCGTGGTACCGGGGAGGGACGGAGCTGGCCCCGGCTACGAGACCCCCTCCGGCTCCCGGCAGCCCCGGTTTAGCGCCGCTTCCCCCGGTGGCGGGGGCGAAGTCAGCCCCGCCCGCCCCGGGGCAGAGTTCTCCGGTCAGCCCGGTGTGCGGCTGCCTTAAGGTGGGCTGGGAGGGGACCCCCGGGAGCGGCAGCCGGCAGCCCCGGGGTGCCCGGTGCCTCTCGGCCGGGCCACAAGGAGGCGGCACGGTGGCCCCAGGGCTGCGGAGATGGGATTGGGATCTCCTCACTGGCCACAGGCTGCCAGTGTGGCCACCGCTTTCAGCACGGCCTCAATAGAGCCCAGCATCCCTGAGCTGGGGTTGGGGTGTAGGAGCACACAGCCTTGGGGGTCCTGAACACCCGGGGACCACCTGGGGCTGAGCCAGAACAGCCCGTGGCAGAGGCACAAGCAGCACACAGCCTTAGGGGGCCCAGATGCTCAGGGACACCCCAAGGGAGCACAGAGGGCTGAGCCAAGACAGCTGTGGCAGAGGCACGGGTGGTGTTTTGTGGGTGCCACAGGGACAGGTGAGCTTGGCCCACCAGGGTCAGGGCCAGGAGAGGACACTGGTGCAGCACAGGCAGGCAGAGGGATGGATGAGGAGGGAGAGGAAATCACTGCACAGCACGCTGGGAGAATGGGGACATCCCCGTGATGTCCCTCAGCGGGAGCCCGCAGCAAGGAAAAGAGAGAGCCTGAGGACACGACAGCTGTAACGGCAGACAGGGCTGAGGAGGAGGAGGAGGGTGTCGGGGTGTCAGCATCCATGGGATTCATGTCCCTGCGCCACCCTGCTTCTCCCTGACACCAAGTCCTTCCCGGGGGAGCCGCAAGGACACATTCTCCCCTGCCTGCACCTGTGACAGCTTCTCCCACCGCCCGTGGGCACTTCAGCCAGGCCGGGCACCTGGGATGGCCGGTGCAATGCTGGCAGCTCCCGGCGCCACCCCACTGTCCCCTGTTCCTAGTCAGGGGTGGGGCGGACACTGCAGAGCAGGAGCTCCCAGCGAACCCAGCATCACCTGCAGCGTCCCCAGCAGCACAGATCACACTGATCAGCACAGATCACACTGACCGCTCTCCCGCACCGGCCAGGCTCCCCGAGGACAGCACTGGGTGCCGTACTGGAGGACCCGCTGCCAGCTCCCCGCTCCTCCCCTCCCTCCCTCCCCAGGCAGCCGCCGGGGCTGTCGGTTTTATTTAGAGCCTCGCACAAACACAGCCGAGATATCTGAAGTGACTTGGCACCGTCAATCTGCGCACGGCGTCCGCCCGCGCATCCCCGGCCCCGCCAGCCGCCCCCTCAGCCCCAGCTACGCCCATGGGGCACATCCAGCCTTAATTTAGCGCTGCTGGAGCCGGGACCAGCTCCCCAGGCTTCTGCACTCTCCTCCCTTTGGGATCCCCCTGCAGCTGGAGGCTGTGCTCAAAGGCTGTGCCCAGCGGAAAAACATTTGTGGCCARACTGTTGGTGGGAAGCCCAGCACAGCTATCATTTTCCTTCACACAGCTGGCCAGAGTGGCCAGCGGGGATCCAGAGGAGCCCTTGGATCTGGCCTTTTGCACATGGCAATAATTGCTTTGCACAAGGATGGGACATGAGGACACATCACTACAATCCACAGGGGATGCAGAGGGAATGCAGAGGACAGGTGCTGAGCTCTGCTCTCTGCTGACCGCTGATAAGGCCCRAGGAGCTGCATGAAGCTCTGTCAGAGGAGTTTGAGGTTGGCTCTTAGGAAAAGGTTCTTCACCCAGAGGGTGTTTGGTTACTGGGACARRCTCMCCAGGTCAGTGATCACAGCCCCAAGCCTGCCAGAGCTCAAAGAGCGTTTGGACAATGTTCTCAGGCACTGGGTAGGATTGCTGGGGTGTCCTGTGCTGGGACAGGGGTTGGACTCTATGATCCATGTGGTTCAGGATATTCAGCGCAGGATATTCCATGGGATTAGCAGTGGTTTATGGAAACCCTGCAGCTACACCACCATGGGTAGTGTATCCCACCCAGCCCAAGTCCAGAAACAGGGATCCTTGGGTTAAGTGAGGCCCAGCAGGAGGGAGAATGCCAGGGACATGCTGCAGCCCTTCACAGCCACCTTTCCTGGTTATTTTTACACGGAAGCACTGTTCCTGGAGGCCTGGTTGGCTTCAGCCTGTCTGGGCTGTTCTCCTCCTTGCTGAAGGTTCAGACAACCTGTTCTGAGGCGATCACAGAGCACAGCCAGCCTTGCTCACAAGCAGCAGCCACCGCAGAGCGCTCGGGAAGGGAAGTTAGAGCTTAAAAAAGCTCTGCAAGAGAAGGTAGCRCACAGAGCAGATGGTGCGGCGCGAGCTTCCCGGGAAGAGCTGCTATTGCTCCCCATTAGGAAGCATATGGGCAGGCTCAGCTGCCTCCCTCCCCTCCTACCCACRGCCCTTCCACTCAGCATCACAGGGGCCCTGCTCCAACACCACAGCTTTGGAGGATACACCCCAGGAGGGCAGGGTCTGCCCTGTGCCGGGCAGGGAACCTGCGGGAGAGGAGGATTTGGCTCCGTGGTGCCTGAGATCAAGGGACAACGTGAGATTTTGGGAGTGCAACTCTACCATCCTCCTCCTCCTCCTGCACAGAACACCCACGGCGAGCAGGAGGCTGTGGCGCTGCTTGGCAGGGCGGGCAGAGCTGCCAGGCTCTCTGTGCTGCCAGCGGGCACCCAGGCTGTGCTCGCTCTGCAGCTTCAGCTCAGAACCCACACTCCTGCAGGGAGGATTCCCGAGACCCTGGGGGATTCCGGAGCTTGGCTCTCCCTGGCCCCAGGAGCTGGGCAGCAGCCAGCATGGGGACGGGGCAGTGTTTCAGAAAAGCTTTTCAAGAATAAGTTGGTTTTCACAGCTTTGAGGCACAGTGAGGAACTCACAGTACGCTGCCAGCACGTGTTTGGGGAAGGCACGTGCTCCGTGTGGTGGGGCTGGGCCAGGCTCAGCCACTCCCGCAGGTTTGGGGGGGCTGGGCAGGCAGGGGTTTGTTCCCCTTCCCTATTCCCAGCCAGGACCGCGGGCTCAATGTGCTTTTTGCATTCCCTCATTTCCAGCAGGGCAGCTCTGCATGGACAGCAGAATCTGCTCCCTCCCAAGAGGAGGTTCTGGGATCCTTCCACACACAGGGACCCCAACCAGGGCAACAGCACCCCATCTCCTGCAGAGCCTGGCAGCATCCAGAAGGAACAATTACAACCTTGCCAGGATCATCCCAGTGGAAAGTCTTGCAGCACTGGTTTTRCCCAGACTGTTCTTTCATCCCTTARTCATCTGCCTGTCTGATCCTCTCCCAGCCCCATGGCCCACGGGGACTGTGCTGTCTCACTTGGCTGGAGGGGCTTCACAGGGGATGGAGATGGGAGAGGTTCTGYTCTCCCCCCTGCAGGGCCAAAGCTGTTAATGAATCACATTTCACTGAGGATGAGGTGATTGCAGCCTTCCCTGACTGGGACTTTGTCCCTTATGATCCCTGCTCCAGTATGGGATGATCCAGGGGGAGAAGGACCAAAAGCCTGACTGAGTATCCACATCACTCCAGGACACAGCCGTTATCCCAGAGGGCTCAGTCCACCCTCAAAACCCAAACCAGCTTAGGGATAAACAAAAAAAACCCAAAAAACAAACACTGATACTTTGGACATCAGCCTGGAAAATACCCCAAACTCAGCATTTGTTTTGGGGCTGTGGGCACAGAGCCATACCCAAGAACCTGCAAGCAGCCAGCACTTGTGTGAACCTCCACAATAATGACTCAATGGTCTTAGAGGTCTTTTCCAACCTCAAAGATTTCTTGATAAATCCAAATAACGCAGCACTGAGCACGTGGAACTGCAGGAACTCAGTGCCCTGGGGAAACTCAGGGCCAGTCCCAACCCCAACCACCTCCCAACCCAGACCYAGCACCCTGAAAGTGCTACTTTCACAGCTCACCACAACACAACACCCTRTGGGACCACATCAGAGCACTAGGCCCACACAAGGTCTATTCTGTCACCCACAAGCCCATGCAGCCACAGAGCAGCATGTTCACCCATCTATCCTCCAGTTTTAAAACCAAATTTCAAGATCCCTCTGCTTACAATCCAAGTGTACACATTCCACAGCTCTCCCCCTCCCCTCTCAGGCTTCAGTCAGCACCCAAAGAGAGCTTTCAGCTGGGAGAAAAARCACACAAATGTCTCCTGAAGCGGGGAGCACCAATTACACTGCTGATATTTAGGGCTTCCAGCACAGCAAATGGAGCTGCAGCTTCATTAGGTACCTTGCCAATTTAATCCAAGACATCCAGTACAGGGGAAGCTTAAATTAGTTTGTCTCATGTTAACTTATAACAAGCAATATGTTAACGTGGGGATGGTTTTTCATGGACTGTGACCCAGGGAAGGGGTACCCAGAGCCCTCCCAAGAGGGATTTAGGGAGGGAGATGTATCCTACCTGTCTCCTCATACTCCTGGGACTGCATCCACCACCATGAGCACCTGCAGCTGGGGAAGGGGTGTACCCCATCACCCCCTTATATGGGAGAGGTCCTGGAGAGGATGATGAGGCACTGGGGCCTTGTTAAGGCTGTGATTGGCAGGAGAAAGGTGGGGGTGGGCTGTGGAGGATGCTCTSTGAGCAGCCTGAGCATGGGCTTTGCCCCTCACCTCTTGAAGGGGGTTATGGGAACTGCCTGCAATTGTTTTGCCAAGCTTTTATTGGGTGATTTAGGAGTTAGAGCTGAGTTGTTACAGCTCTCTCATCTTTGTTAGAGCTCTCAGGCCCAGTTGGTGCAGATTGTGTGTGGGGATGAGTGGGGTGGAGGTGAGGTGCTCTCTGGCATGGGGGATATTCCGAGGAGGCTCCTCTGTGCACCCTGGCCAGACCCAC